GAAACCCGACCCCCCCCCCCAAAAAAAAAAAAAAACATAAAGCACCCAAGACCGAGGTCATGCACCCTTAAATCCTTAAACCAGAGACCGTCAAAGCCCCACCGCCCTCACGCAGGCGAATCTGGAGGAGAAAGTAGTTCTCCAATCCGCACGGGCCTCAGGGTCACTTCAAAGAAGAGCGAGGGTCTGGGATCCAAGAGGGAACAGAAGGTACGTCGGGTTTCAGGGTGTGATTTGGGGCTCGATTCGTCGAAGAATAAACCTTCAGACCTCTGGACCTCTGCCTCGCTTGAGGACATCGTGCGCATCGTGGATCGCACTTTGGCCGAGGTGCATGGCCCAGACAGGGTGTTGGAGACTCCATTTGCAACACTCAGCTGAACTCACTCGACAACTATTTATGTAACTATTGAATTATCTAACTAACTGTCTGTCTCTGTCTCTGTCTCTGTCTCTGTCTCTGTCTCTGTCTCTGTCTCTGTCTCTGTCTCTGTCTCTGTCTCTGTCTCTGTCTCTGTCTCTGTGTCTGTCTGTCTATTTATCTTGTCTATCTGTCTGTCTGCCTATCTGCCTGTATGTCTATCTGTCTGTTTGTCTGTCTGTCTATCTATCTGTCTATCTACCTATCTATCTATCTATCTATCTATCTTTAGATAGAGGGTGAGGTAATTCGTGTGATGCGTGTGCGTCTGCGCGCGTGCGCCTGCCGCCTGCTTGCCTTCCTGCCTGCTCGTCCGCCCGGCCGCCGCCTGCCCGCCTGCCTGTGTGGGTAGGTCATGGTAGGTAGGTAAGCGAGGAAGGTAGGTAGGTTTCATTAGGAGCCGTCTGTTGGCGAGTTGTTGTTGGGTGTAACGGTGTTCCCCCGATCCTCACGGTCTGCTCGTGGACCCTTGTAAGTTCGAAACCTCATTGATTCCGCGACCGCAGTGTTTGGCAAGACTCTCAACCCTGAACTATACTATCATGGGGGTACTATCATCAGCGTATTACGAAAAGGGTACAATAAGGTTGCTATAAATATAGTTAATTCAAGCTGGTTCCTCCCGAAGGTTCGAAAAGCCGGGCCAGATCTGTTCGGTGCTGGTGCAGGGATGCTCAGACTCTGCGCTTTTGCAGTGTGAGGATGGTTTAAGATTTATAGGGGTCAGAGTTTATAATTCGGGTTTAGGGCTTTGGGATTAGGGTCTTTCTTTCGGGATCAATTTCGAGAAAGTAACCAACAACGAGAATCGGGGATTATGCATCGGGATGTTCGACAGGAATCCGGAAGCGGCCTGTGGGGCTCCTGCCCCAACCCTAAACCCCTCCCAAATCCTAAACCCTCTCCCCTGAACCCTGAACCCTAAAGACCCTAAACCCTGAAACCCTAAGGAAAGGGGCGCCCAATACACTTAAAAAAATTAAAAACCTCGAACCCTCCAAATGAGACCTTCTTGGGCAGGCCGTGACCGGTCCGGCTGCCATTGGCGAGATCCGACTCGGGGCCTGAAGTACTTCAAGGTTTCGGGTCTAGTACTAGGGTTTAGGGTTTAGGGCTTAGGTTTTAGGGTTCAGGGCTTAGGGTGTAGGGTTTAGGGCTTCGTCCGTGGAGCTGAGGCGTGTTCTTGTGTTTTTCTGTTGGGAGTTTTGGCTTTGCAAGGATGCGGAGCTGCGTGTTCGAGGGTTGAGGATGCCGGGAGTCAGGGTTCCAAGTTTCGAGGGGCTCGAGACGTTTACGATTTTGAGGCTTGGGGATCCCACAATCGGGTTCCCGTGGATACAGCACCTCATCTTGCGTCCTGTTGATCCTGGCAAGGGGAGGTGTGCGTATTCGGGGGTCGAGTCGCCTTGCAACATCTCCGCTAGAGGGTCCAAGCCACTTGTGCTCCGCTTTTGGCTGGAGTTTAGAGTTAGGGGTCTTTGAGGTTTAGGGTTTACCCTAAACCCTAGGTCCTAAACCCTAAATAAACCCTAAAGTTTAAAACCCTGAGCCTCTTGCCCAAGGAAAAGAGATGCGCCGCGGAAAGGCGAAGGTGCCTCGGAACGATGTGCACCAAGCTGGCAGGTTCCTGTTGTTGCAGTTGTTTTACCTCTCCTCAGTTCAGGGTTTAGGGTTCATAATGCCGAGATTAGTACTAGCAACATCTTGAAATCATAAAGCACTCAGTTGCAGTGCCTTGCGCTTTTCCGGTGCTTGTGCAGAAGCTGGGCTGGGCTCAGTCAAGAAGACCTCCAAGCCTACAATCCTGTACCTTAAACCCCAAGATCAAGAACTGAACTCTAAATCCCAAATCCCAAAACCCCAAACCCCCAACTCCCGACACTGTTAAAGCCTGACCCCCGAAACCTCACATCCTGACACGTAAACCCTAAACTTTAATCCTACGCTCTGTAAATCCAGACCTTCTCCAAGCATCCTAAGAACCCACAAACCAAGCGATCCCAGGTGGCGGGTCTCGAGGCCCGTCTCTTGGGGTTGGCGGAGGACTCCAGCAGCGAGGCTCGGACAGAGGGGGGGGATCTTTTGGTTTGGGCTTAGGGTGCGGGTTCGGGGGCTACGGGTGCCCTGGACTATAGCTCTGAGGGTTGCAGGGTTATGCAGGGTTGAGGGGTTCAAACCCCAAGATCCTATAAACCCGAAGTCATGGCAGGGGCGCATCTGGCGCGCTTCGATGGCCTCAAAGGCCGGCGTCTTGGGCGTTTTGTTTCCACCTGGACCCTATAAAACCTACCTGTTTAGGGCTCCTTGTCATGATTTCTTTATGCAAATCCTTAAAAAGGTAGAGGTTATTTGCGGTCTAGGTAGAGTTTGGGGGGTTTCAGGGTTTTTGGGGGTTCCGGGGCTCAGTTTCTAGAACTTTCAGTTGCTGCCGTGCCTACCCAGCTCCGACGTGCGAAGACGGAATCCCAAAGGATGATCAACCCGAGGTCTGTGAATTTGGAGTCGTGCATTTAGGGTTTAAAGTCTTGCTTCTGCCCGCGACATACACACTTCAGCATTCCCTGAGGAAACCAATCTTGAAGCGGTCCTTGAAGGTGTAGGTCTGTGGATACTACCCCTAATTCCTACTGGCTTTGGACCTCGAGCTTCGCCGGAAAGTCCTGAAGCTCAATGGCCCCAAAAAACAAGCACTCGCGGGCTTAAGGCATTGGGATTTCGAACATTTGTTTTTCAAAGGCCCGAAGCACAAACTCTGAGCGGTGACAGGGTTCAGATCGAAGCCTCTGTTTCCAGGTGGATTCCTTGGAATCTGCGATGCAGGTGCGGGGAGGGCATGGGAGACTGCCTTCAGGGCACTCGGTTTGTGGTTTAGTAAGATCCATGCTATGAGCGCAGAGAGCGAGTATCAGAGTAGGTATCATTCTTAATGTAATTAGGGCTGGTAGATGTCGGTCGTTTCTCTGAGATTTCAAAGCGCAAGGTGTTTTCGTGGAGTGCTGCGACCCCAATGAGCGGATACTCCGCAGCAAAAGCTGAATTTAGTAATTTCTGAACCCTCCAGCCCTGAACCGAAGTCATTCTTCGCCACAACCTTTTACGGGCCTTTGAGGGCTCTTCTTTGTGTTGAGCTGTTTATGACGCGAGTAAATTCGCAAATTACAAACAGGGGAACAACAGTCTTTTTGTTTCGCTTCGGGTTGAATTATGGGTTGTGCTGTGGAGGACCAAATGGGCAGACTTGCTGGCAACGAGGCCCAGGATCCAGGGCTTCACAGGGCGGATTTCAGTGGGGTTTAGGGTTTGGGATTTCTCAGGGTTGAGGACTTTTCTTAAATAGCAGGTTTAGCGGCTTGACAGCTTTTAGAGATGTAGGGTATGGGGGGCATGGCTGGAAGTTTGGGGCGGTTTCAGGGTCTGAACAAGGTCGAGGGCAAGCGGTTTGGGGGTTCAGGGGTCTAGGGTTAGAGGTTCAAGGTTTAGGAATTCCGGCTCAAGGCTTTAACAGTATTTCAGGCTCCAGGGTTGCGGAGTTTAGGTGGAGAATCAACAGAATCACCAGCGATGTTCTGTTGTTCACTTGTGACCATTTTGCACTTGTTGTTGTCATCTTCGTCGCGTTTTCACAGATTCCGCAGCTGCGGAACCGAAGACGTTAGAATACAGATTTCCTCAAAGAGCTTGTGGGTGCAATGCTCGAAGCATTGATATCCGGCAAAGGTCACCACGCATCGTTAATGGCCCCAAACCTAAGCAGCAATCTTATCTTCAAGTCCTGGCAGAGCGGATTCTGTCCTTCTCAGATCCTGGGCTCAAGGCAAAATGGGCCGAGTTGCAAGAGTCCTTCGATCAGAATCTGGAGGTGGGGGGCTCGGGGTGAGGACTACTCATGTGCAGTGTCTTCCATGACGTACATCTGCGCCTCTGCCTGCTGCTTGACGGCTATTGTAGTTTCGCGTTAGTACGGCCATTGGCCGCGCGACTGTTGTGGACACATTTTCAGTGTGGATGGTGTCCCAATCTAGTTTCGAATTCTGTTGGCGTCGGCCTTTCACGTGATTGTGACCCGCGCTTTCATGCACAGGTCGCGCAGAATGCCGCAGTTCGTGTCCGCTCCTGAGACTGACGGCCATCAGCATGACCGTTTCAACGTTCTTTGATCACAATTGTTTTCGTCCGGCTGCTTACGGCTTGGGTGCTTGGCGATCATAGTTCTGACGCTCTGGACTGTAGCGGTTCCCTGCATGGCGGCGCGGTTCCTGAGACGAAGCTAACCCCCAAGCTTGAGTCGGGCGAGATAAAGTCACTGCACCCCGAACTCCAAAAGACAAAGCCGGACTCCCAGTCGCCTTCACCGAAAGTCCTTTTCCTTCAACCCCTGGAAGCAAGGCGGAACAGATGGCGACGAAGGCATCCCTAGGGGCGCAGGAGGCATCTACCCGCGCTATTTTCCAGCTTTTTGGGGGTCAGCGTCGGACGCTTTCGGGAGACTCTTCTTGCAGATCTATGTTTTGTCAGGCAATGGCTTTTTGTATGCGTGAACCGCTGTCATCATACTTTCGTCCTTTTGGGACATTGGGGTCTGGCGGCGCTGTTGACGGCGCAGAGCAAGTCGGGTCGATAGGTAATTTTGAGCGTTGGCCACTTGGGGTGCGAGTTTCGGGCTGTTCCGCTTGCCACTCAGGGCTTTGTTTTTTTCGCTTGAGGTTTCACTGAACACACTGGCTACTTAGGTATTCAGCCAATCTGTCTGCGCCAAGTTCCCAAAACCGCGAGCCCGAACCCTGACACCACCCCCACCAACTGCAGGGTTTAGTGCGCAGCGAAACCGGGACGAACGAAGCTTGATGCCGTGGTGACGGAGAGCACAGGTGTCAGTGGCCGGCAGGCATGAGGTCAGGTAGCAAAATCCTGTCACAAGCCGTCGAAAGCCGAGACAAGCCGGACTATGCGTGCGCGTCCGTGATAAGCCTATGTATCTGCACACACACACACGCAGAAAAACTACATGCGCCTATCCATGTCTGCTTGGATGCATTGCTTTTCGTCCTTCGTCCTATTGATGCAGTGCGTCGTGGACACGGGCCCCAGACCTTCAGCCCGAAACCGCCCAGCCACAGGTTGCGAAGGAGCTGATCGCTGAGGCCAAGGTGCACAAGGGGCTCTACAAGCGTACCTCTATATGCTTAAGGGTTTGATAGGGTACTATGAGAGTCGCCCTTTTTGGTTCCTGAGGATCCTAATATTTCAGCAGAAGAGCTTTGTCGCTCTGGGGGCGCCTTTTGCTTCAGAGCTCCCAGGGGAGGGTGCTGTCTCTAGGATTCCACACAGCAATGTTCAGCAGAAGCGTGAATCCTAAAGCGCACGCCTTGTCTCAGCCGCAGAATCCGCAGCTGTTAAAGCTACACGCTAGATTCTTTACCCGCCCAAATGTGGGAGCTTCTCCGTGCCTTCTTTGATCTCGGTGGTGTTGGTGGGGATGCCACGACAGTGATGCCCCAAAATTGACCGTGAATCCTGAGTACCTTTCAGAGCAAACAGGACTTCGCTCTTCGTTCGGGTTCTCTCATCACCGAGCGATTCACGTGCATTACATTCGAGACATCTCAAGTCAAGAGCCCCCTAACAACAGAGCCTCAACACCTTGAGCTTTAGATCCCAGCTTCTACATTCAGAGATCCCCTAAAGACCTAGCCCCCAAACCCTAAACCTGAAAGCACTCCCTGAATGATGCCGCGTAGCCAGGACGCCTTACATGATCGGATGAAGGCCTTCGAAGAGCAAGGCGGCAACTGTCTGTTTCTGGCCCAACCCTGGGTCCTCAAAATGGTTTAGGCCTAGGGTTTAGAGTGTAGGCCCCAGGCTTTCTGAAATCCTGAAGATACCATGCCCGTCCTACATCCCCAACCCTGAACTAGAAAACCCGAAACCTTACACCCTAAACTCTAAACCCTAAGCCCTAAACTCTGAACCCGTACGTGTGCAAGCTCAGTGAGCCGACTCTGGACCCACGTCGCGCGGAGAAAGAGCCACTGCACATTAAAAAAAAAACTCTGAACCCTAAACCCTAAGCACCAAACCCGAAAAGCTGCAAGAAGCCCAGAGCGCGAAATCCCGGCAGAGGCCGCGCGCAGCGAGCCGATCTCGATGCAGAGCTGCAGGATGCCCCGGTGCTTTGGAGTTTTGAGGGTTTTGAGGGTGTTGAGGGTGTTGAGGGTCTTGAGGGTGTTGAGGGTTTTGAGGGTTTTTGCAGGGATTTAGGACTTTAGGTGTTTATGTGGCTGCAGGGTTGGGGTTTTGGGGATTTTGGAGTGCAGGCTTGGGGCGAAAGGGGACGTTGCAGTTCAAGGGTGTCTGTTGAAAGGATTCGAGCCCCGAAGGGTCAGGCAGGCTAGAGAGGCACATGGCTAGTTCTCTAACTTAGGGGCTCTTTAGGACTTCAGGGGGTCCTTTTCTAAAAGGGTGCCGTGCTGTTTTTGGGGATCTGAAATGGGACCTTAGTTTAGAGAACTACCCACATGGTAAATGAAGGCGTGAAGTTTCAGGTTTAGATAGTCGGGGGTGCAGGTTTGAGGGTTCGTAGCCAGTTCTCTTACTTTGATCCTCATCCCATCCGTTCGGGGCCATCGCAAGATGAGACGAAGTCCTCATTGTGGGTCTGAGTACTGAGTCTAGTCTATCAGAGCCAGGGGTGGCTTGTCTGGGCCGATTGGGCATGTAAAGTGCGAAGTGACATGTTGTGGGAAGGCTGCGTGCCGGGGCATCCGAATCCAGAATGTCTGTGCTGCCTGAAGCAGAGAGCCGAGAAGTGGCAGGAGTTCCAGCGCCGCCTCAACATCCAGGAGACCTTCGTTTTTGTTTTTTTTTTTTTCTGGGAATAAGCTTACTTGATGGAACGAGGATTGGATCATGATTCTCCCATTGCCCCGCTGGTTGGGCATTGTCAGGCTTTAGGCTCCTAAGGCACTTAGTGTCTCCTTTTCCCCGAGGTCGCCATTTTTGGGCGTTTTGGTCGGATGTCAGGATCGCTTCTCCAAGTGGCGGCAGAATCTCCATGATTGTCTAAACTCGAAACATCGTCAGGGTTCCAGAACATGCGTTGAAACGATCAATCCGCCAGTTGGCCGGGCGTTCGACTGCGAAGCTTGAAATATTGCCTCAAGTTTATAGGTTCCTGGACGGTCCTCCGTTTGTGCCCCCCCCCTCTTTGACCCCTAAACCCGTCTAAACCCACATCCCTGCGCCGAACAGGACAACGACCTGAAAAGGAGTCGCGAGAAGTCTTCGCAGGCCGGAGGATGGGGCGCTCTGTCCAAAGACCTGCTGTCTGTAGAAAAGAATAACAGCAATAATAACCAGAAGAGCCATAACGATACTATGAAGCCTGAGCATAACATATATGTTTAGTATACTAACATATAGTCATAGTCTGAAGATCTGTGTAGAAACCCTAAGCGCGGATCGTGTGAACTCGCCCAAGGCCTGAACTCTACATTGGAAAGCTTCCTAAGCCTCAAGCCGCAAGTTCATCCCGAAAGCACCAAGGCCAAGAATCCTAAGCCTCGGGTCGTTCCACAAGCTAAAAAGCATTGACCCACACCCCGAGACATCTAAATCCCACCAAGCCACACGCCCTAAGACGAGGTCGACCTAGAGTTCAGCCAGCTGACGAACCGCCGGGACCTTAAATGCCAACACCCGAAGTCTCATCGGGACTTGGTGGCTTGTGATGTTCCGTGGCGGAGTCTCGAGAGTATCAGGGGGCTTCTGTGCAGGGTCTCCACAACGCTAAATTGGGTTGATGCGTGCCAGGAGGAGTTTTTGCTAGGAGTTTTCTAGCGCTTGTCAATGCTTGTCATGGCGGCTTACGGCTGTCCGACTGAAAAACCCAAAACCCAACAACAGCTCCCAAACCCAAGTCGTGCCTTTGTTTTCCAGGACTCTCGGCCGCCTGAAGCCCAGCATTTCAGGGGTCCTCAGAATAGGGTTTCGAGTTTAGCATTTGGCGTTTAAAGTATGGTTTTGGATCCGATTTGCTGGATTGGAAGAGTAAGTGGACGCATCCTTTTGGGATGCTCGTTCTCATCTCTGATTGCAATATATCAGTTGTGACATGCCAGAACAGCGGGACGACTCATTAGTGGTCATGTCTTCCTAAACCATCGCTATTATGCTGTGTGCTGGCGTTGCGATACACTTTGCAAAGAGATTGGTCAAATACATAGTAACTAGAACCAGTACTTTTGCAATTTTTGCTCTTCTTCTTCCTTGTTTGTTAGCTACTACTACTGTTTTCGTCTGTTAGTATCATAAACAAATGTCCCGTCATCGGCAGGTCCGCATAGAAGTCTCCGGCCTGAAAGACCGGGCGGATGCACAGGAATCCCAGGCACTGCATCGCGAGGCCGGAGCAGCTTGGGTTTGGGGTTTAGGGAGTTTAGGGTTTAGGGAGTTTAGGGTCTTGGTGGCTAGGGTTTTGGTGTTTGGTGTTTAGGATTTTGGTCTTTTGGGGTTTTCGCTTCTGACGGTAACCTTTTTGAGCATAGTTGATGTATGCAGACTTGATGTTCTGCTGGTTCCGACAGTTCGTCCTTGACACTTGCAAACATGCCATGTGCCAGTAGACAGGCAAACAATTTTTGCCATGGTTTTCTTCTACTCATAAATCTTGCAGACATGGTCAGGACACAAACCTAAACCCTCTGAGCTCGACACCCGAGCATCCTGCCAGGCAGCAGCAGCAGTTGGAAACCAGATGCGAACTGCAAAACAGAAATTGCCGAGATGGCTAGATGCATGGGGCTTGGGGAAGGCACGTCGGTTTCCAGGTCATACTGCCAGTGCAGCGACCGGTTCCCATAATGAACTGAGCAGCTAGACCTCAGACGTTGAAGCCTCGGTCGATTTTGACGCCCCTCCACTGTCGGTACCTGTCTGGGAAGGTATTCGATTCTCCTCTCTGTAGTAAACACAACCAAGCGATCTTCGCCGAAGGGCGCCGAGAATGAGCTTGCTCGATGTCTGCGTGATCTGCAGCTGGAGGTGGAGGCAGCCTTTACCCCAACCGATACTCTTGAGCAACTCTGCCTCAAGGCTGTCGGAACATGCAGGGCTTGGGGATACAACTCTGATTTGAGAGGAGCAGCGGAAGCCATTTAAGCACAAGAGATTCTCAGGAGAAATTGCAAACGATTCAAGCGGCTTCAAGATGAACATTGCACAGAGTCAGATGGTGTTGTGATATCGTGCCACAGTTGTATCCAGGATCTTGGAAAAGCTGAGAGGCGGTGCTCCAAGCCAACTTCATGTCACGGATGTAGAATATTGATTTAGTCATTCTTTCGGGTTTGGGGTGTCATACCGTATGTACATGCATGCATGCACGGACACACGCAAGAATAAGTCAGTCAGTCAGCAAGTAAGTAAGTAAGTAAGTAAGTAAGTAAGTAAGTAAGTAAGTAAGTCGGCAAGTGAGTAGGTGAGTAAGCGAGTAAGTGAGTAGAGCAAATCAGTGAGTCAGTTAGTCAGCAACCAAGTCAGGAAGCAAGTCAGTCAGTCAGTCAGTCAGTCAGTCAGTCAGTCAGTCAGTCAGTCAGTAGGCATGTATGTGAAGAAGTTTTGAAGTAAGTCAGTATGGACGTATACATGTGCGCATGTGCGTATTATGTACGTACGCAGGTAGCTATGCATGCATGTATTAGTGCATGTATGCAGGCAAGGATGCCGGCATGGATGGATCGACGGACGGACGGAGAGATGTGTACTCATTTGTGAAATAGCAAAGTAATGCCAGAGTGGTGCGTCAGCTGTCAGAGCTCGGACATGTCGGCAATCACAGCAAAGCCTTATCTTTGATGCCGAAACAATGGCTGCAGAGCGTAAAGGACGGTCTCCCAGCAAGTTGCCAATGAGAGGCAGTTGTCCCGACTTGCTAAGTCTCGTCCCCTTATTGCTGCGATTGCGGTCCGTCCTGAGATCTTTATGTGTGGGACCAGCTTGATAACAGGCACAGCTACAGCTTTACAAGGCCAGTCCTTTCCATGCAAACTCAGTGTTGCAACCGTGGTGCCGATAAACTGCACATTGGGATTGTCCTGCATGGACAGCGGGCACCCTGGAGGTTCAGGGCGAGACGCTCCGGCGGACACAGGAGGAGCAATTTCATTTGTTCGTTTCCGGCATGTTGGAATCCTGAGTTTTCCGTTCGTACTTTTTCTTAGGGCTCCAGGGCCGCGTGTAGGCCGAGGGGTGAGGAAAAAGAGGTGAATTGGAGTGTTCAGTGAAGCGAGACGTAGGTTCGGCTGTCTACAGTAGGGCAGGTCCCTCGCGTCTGCCGGAGGGCTGCCGTCACAACGATTTGGTGAAGTCGAGAAACAACCGTACTGGCAAGAGTTTTCTCTCAACCGCCCCAGACACACAGTGAGCCGTAGCGGTGCAGGATCTGAAGAAGAGCTTGGCAAGAGCTGCTGGCTCAGAAGGAAGAAAGCGGGCCGCGTAGTTTGACACAAAAGAAGCCTGCCCTCAGCCTGTATGATTGCATTTCTCCGCACCTCGACTCTTTACTCGCAGTATTTGGCCGAAAGCAATTGGCTCATGTGGTGCCGCCACGCGCCGTAGTCTTCAAACTACTCTATCCATCAGTAGGATTTGCGATGTCAAGCATGCGATGCTTGCCTGCCACCGTGCTTCTTCTGTCTATGGCTGCGAACGGTGCAAGAGTCTTTCCCGGGTTCAACAATGTGGCAAGCGCCCGGCACCCGAGTCTGGGGGTGCCCCTCTCTGCCCGGGCAACGGCCCATGTCATCACGGATGGTGACCAGAAATGGAGCAGCACCGGGAATGTCTCATACAAACTAACGAAACTTCTTTGGCTTACCGCTGTTTCTGATCACATGATTACTTTTGACGAGAAGCAGCCGGGAGGTGTTGACCGACGGCACACAATGTTCGTTGGCTGGAACAACATTCTGACCCGCATGGTTGATCGCTACCTCTTCGTGACAGACTTCGACCAGGAGAAGGAGCTTCGTTCTGAATGCTACACGTACACGGACGAGCGACCCCAGGGCTTCTGGGATCCGTTTGAACAGGTGGAGTCTAACTTCGACCTGGTCAGGGAGAGCCCAGAGGTTGATCTCTGGAAGACCCCGAAGATAACCACCTCGCATCGCACGCAGATGCTGGGGAGGATGTTTACCGAGGCAGGTGGCAAGAATGCGTTGAATACAACCATAGTGTCCACCGAGAAAAACCACAAAAGCACATATAGCATCGTCTACAGCGATCGTGCCCAGTCAGCGATTGCAGATCACGACGAGCTTGTCTACAAATATCAAGAGATGACATGTGCGACGGTGAGCGGGTTTCAGAACATGCCAGAGGTCTGCGTTGATGACCTTTTGGCCTTGGAGTATGGATGCGGCTATGCAGAGCTTCGAGAGAAATCCTAATTCTATGGAATTCTACGGCTGTCTGCTTAGTCCGAGCGCCTCCAATCTGACAATCCGTAGTGGCGCTGCAACGCCAAAACAAGCGTGACTCGACCACATCAGAACTGCAATAGGACGGTCGCCCAAGCGATTGAGCCTAAGGTCGCTTGAACATTCTGATATTTTTCCGCAAGCTTGAAGCAACCTGACAAGACTCCGGTGACGGCATGCCCTGCCCTACATGTTCACGGTTGCAGTTGTTTATCGTCTGCTGGTCTTGTTGCAGTCTAGCACCGCCTTGCCTTGTACTCATGAGCTTAATCTTTCAAACCAAAAGGCCCAAATCACAACTTGCTCTTTCAAAGCGCACCCTCCCAAACTCAACCATCCGAAGTTCCGACGGCTCTTAAACCCTGGCCCTACGCCTTAACCTCAAACATCAGGAATTCCGACTGCTCCAAGGCCCAACATCAGGCTCTGCCTCCTGGTGAGTCCGCCCTGGCCTCGTCGTTGCCCGGCAGTTCGCGCATTAGGGTTTAGGGTTTATGGTTTAAGGTTTAGGGTTAAGGGTTCAGGGTTGAGGGTTTATAGGGCTAATAGGGCTTTTAGGCTGTAGGGTCTTTTCGAAACGACACTTCTGGAGCCATCTGCAGCTTCTTCAGCCTTGGCTGCACGTTGCATGGCCAGTCTAGGGAGGGATCAGCTGATCAGCAAGCATCCGTCCTTTGCAGATTGTGAAGCCTGAAATCTTGTTCCTGAAGCCCTAGATCCCAAGTCCCGAAACTTTGGGAGCTCAACATAAAAATCCAGTCCCCAAGCTTTTGAAAGTTTTGTTTTCTAGTATCCTGCCCTCAAGACAGA